TGATTTTTCAAAGGTCCGAGTTAATTGGTGACTTTTTATGGCATTGTGGATAATTGGTTTTGTTTATGTAATTACGGCAAAGCCTCAACGGCTATCTGCTTAAGCGAAGGAATGCCTTCGTGAAGGACTTTCTGAGGGAAACTGGCTCATATGTGCATTACACATGGGAAAAACCATGAAAAAACCCATGCAGCCGGCCTTGTGATACTTCTTTGACAATATGAAACAAATCCAATGATGGAACACAGAAAAAAACTTTATTTAGCACTCAAAATGGCGACATACAAAACAAGAAGAAAAACGAATCGTAACATTTTAAAAATAAAATATGCTCGTGGCACTTGAACCTGGTTTCAAACATTGCCATTTACAAATACCTTAATGTTCATTTATTTAAATTATTTAAACTACAAGATTTTAATAATATTTAAAGCTGTTACAACCTCTTCCCCAACGGAGAGACTTTTTCCGAAGGGAAAAGTTCTGTAAAATTCGACAGTTTAATAAGCTCGGCTTGCTCATTTGCTTAAAGAGAAAAGATAACTTCTCTCATAAGTTTCCAAATAGGCCAGAATTTTTAAGTTTTAAACAAATATTTTTACACCACGTTTAAATAGAAAAAAAAATGGAGAACGTTCAAATTAGTCTTCCTTTTTTTTTTTTTTTTTTTTGACGGTGCCTAGATCTGACGGTGCATGTTGGACCAGTTCCTCGGCTATAATTCACAGCAAAGCCTTTCCTCAGTTCATCTGTGCCTTTCGGATAATATTCAGTTGTCATTTGCTTTCGACAATTGTTTTCTTCGTCTGTTATTAGTGGCTTTGATATTAAATCAAAAGCCGAAAGATGATGATAACACTGCATTGCAAAATGATTCTCAATATTAATTTCTTTATCGTTTTTTAAATTTTCATGAACATCTTCCACGTTTAATTCCGGTGATTTAACTTCTTCTTGTCTCTGGATGCTTTATTTTCTTCCTTTATCGGTTCCAAGATCTTCTCTTCAACTATTTTTCTTTTCCTTTGAGCTCTGGTAGACACGGCATTAACCTGGTGAGGATGACTATCAGGTTCCTTTCCTTGTTTATTCAACAGTGCAAAAGTTCAATTGCCTAATAAATACCTTCCCTTGTCGAGTTCATTTTTAATAAAGGCAGCCTTAGTTATTACTCACCCAAGATTGCAATTTAGTTCTATCTCAGCCAATGGTAAACAGGTTGGATTCAAATCTAATGGCTGTTGCACCCACACATTTTTACCTGTCAGTATTTCCGGCGTGATGTATTTGCGACAAACTGTATCAATACTAGCACTGAATCCCTTAATATAGGAATTTTATGACCATTTACATAACCCGTACTAGTATAAGGTAATAGAAATTCATCTTCTGGTTTTGCACTAATTCTGTTAAGATTAGCAGAAGATTCAGTTCTATTCTTAAGTTTTGGACATTGGGATCTTAAATGTTGATAGTACCCACACTGATAGCATTGTTATGTCTTTCGTTTTTCATATTTATCATCTGAACGTGGACTTCTAGGTCTATGAAACCAGCTTTGCGAATTAGATCCTGACAACAATTTTTTTTTTTTTTTTTTTTTTTTTTTTTTTCAGTTTTATTTTTATTATCTGAACTCAATTTACCTTGAAGTAGTGCATTGTATCTTTCTTTCTGCTGATCCACTACAGGCCTTTTTTGAACGTTTCCGCAAACGTTTTTCATAGACATCAAGTTTTTCAGCTGATTTTTTAAATAAAGTCATCTCTACCCACTCATCAAGAAAATGTTCAGGAGGAACTCGATGCTTAAGTTGGTCACTCACCATCAAATCTAGCAACTGATCAAAAGTCTTAACTCCTAGACCACTCACCCATTCTTTGCAATAATTTTCTATTTCATAATTGAAATCCACCCATGTGGATTCGGTACTCTTTTGATATTTCATAAATTTCTGCCTAAACTTTTCCAGGCTTAGTTTAAACCGTCTTAACAATAAATTCTTCACGTGTTCATAGTCTTTAGCTTTGTCGAAGGGTTCTCTAGCTATTAACTGGGTTACTTCATAAGGAAGTAGTCCTAGTAAATGAGATACAAATTCTTCTTTATCTTAGCCCATTCTGCTTGCCTTTCAAACAATAGCAAATATAGACTGATATCTTCCTTCTTGTCATCGAATTTCTGCATAAGGTGATGCAGCTCTGTTTTCGGCTGGATCTGTCCGGAATTTTGAGACTTTGTCTCTGCTTCAAGTCTTAATCTCTCTAATTCGTACTGTTCTTTCCTTCTCCGCTCTTCTGCTTCTTCCTGTCTCCTACGTTCTTCTCTTTTCCTTTCCTCCCTCTCTTTCCATTCTATTTTTGTGTCTAAGACTCCTTTGACGAATACTTCATTATAATCTCTTACTTTCTGTTTTAAATCGACTATTGTCAAATCTGCAGTCACATGAACTCCCAGTTCAGCCGCGAGATTTTGCAAATCTTCCTTACGAGCTCTTCCTAAGTAAGACATTGTTTCTATGTTTAAAATTAACGAACACTGTGTTCTTTATACTTCCTCAAAATAGCTCAATTCAATTTAATTAATTAATGCAGTCAGGAATCACGGAATTAAATGCACTCTGTTAAGTACGTATACCTCAAAAATGAAATATTTAAATTATATGAAGTTTATTCTCTCTACCACATTAATTGTGACTAAAATAAGAATAACAACATAGAGCAATATATACATCTACTGTCTGGACAACTAAAATGAATATTAAAAATAATATCCAATACGGTAATAAAATAAGACAATTCAATATTAACAGGAAGTAATAATGTGGTATTGCTAATATTCAGTTCAGTGATGAACTAATAAAATAAAGCAATTCAATATTAACAGGAACTAATAATCTGTTATCACTAATATTATGTTCAGTGATGAACTAATAAAAAAAATAACGCATGATTATTCGATCTCGTCAGTGCCTCCAAAATAATTATGACTGTGATACTTCTTTGGCAATATGAAACAACTCCAATGATGGAACACAGAAAGAACTTTACTTAGCATTCAAAATGGCGACATACAAAACAAGAAGAAAAACAAATCCTAACATTTAAAAAATAAAATACATTCTTCGTGCGAGAGTCGCACGTGGCACTCGAACCTGGTTTCAAACATTGCCATTCACAAATATCTTAATGTTCGTCTATTTAAATTATTTAAACTACAAGATTTTAATCATATTTAAAGCTGTTACAGTCTGTTTGTGGGATTCGAACTTTGGACCAAGCTACCAGTGTTCAGCGACTTTACCGTTCGGCCAGGCCTGTGGATAATTAGAAAGTATCATTGTTTTTTAACTTCTGTTATCTATTTATTTCATACTGCATAAATTTTAGCAATAATGATATTGTATGCAATCTACTGCTTTGTTATTTTTCAGATATAACTAAAATCGATTGTTGTTCTAATCATTTCTTTTCCCCTCTATTTTATGCCTTCCATATTTATTTTATTCAATATGAGATATTGAATTTTTTATTTTATGAAGCTGTTCTTACTTTATTATTCATGTATTGAAGCTAAAGATTCTACAGCATGCAGAGTACCTCACCGCAAACGCTGGCATGTTATCTCGCAGCAGCATTGTAATGATCCATTAAAAGTAATGGCTATTTTTTGGCCATGCTGTGTGACATTCATTATGTATATGGCTGAATAAATCATAAAAAATGACCCTTTTAAGGGCCACTCACACTTTTGTTTTGTAAAATTGGAAGGAATTTAAATTTACTGGAATTAAATATTTAAGAGATTATTAATTAATCAAATAATTTTTATTTATGCATTGTTAATTATTTGTATTTATTTTCATGTTTAAAAACAGCCTTTTAATCGTGCTATCTAAGAAATAGCTAACTAACTAAAAGTGGTAAATCATTTACTACATCATAATCAAACATTCCCTAGGGAAATTGGTATTTGGAAAATATTCTGTTTTAAAGCGATTATAAATTTTACCACAGTAAATCCTACTTTTTATAACCAGGTTTTTTTTTGTTTTTTTTTCACTAGTAGAATATCATCACCCCTACATTTATGTTTCCAGGCACATCAAATGTCATTGGGATTTTGTTCGTATTTCTGATATTTTCCTAATTATAATTAAATGTAATGCTGCTGAATCATAAATTTCTTAAATTCAGTTGTCTATTTTTGAGATTTTCAGGTAATTTCTGTAATAATATTATTTTCTATAAAACAAACCTATTGTTTCCAAAAACTATCTACATTAACTGACAGTATCTTTAAAATTTTTCTACATTTGGATTAGGTTTAATGTATTTAATAACATAAATCCCAGTTTGTCAGATTTTCAGAATTCGTTTTTTTACTGCATCTTTTAAATCTTACCTATTTATACCAATAGCATTTTCTTGTCCTTAAATTGCATTTTGATTTCAGCATGCCTTTTAATATACCCTTTATTTTCTTCCATTTCTGGATAATTTTTTAATCTATTCAAACATTGATACTTTAAAGCTTTTAGGGTTGACTTGTACATCACAAAATGCAGCATGTGTAACTGTTGAAAATTGCATCTTTGTTAAAGAGTATTTAAAAAAAAAGGTTATTTTATAGTTTTAAAGTAGGTTTGAAACACGAGAAGAATCCTGATTCTTCTCTTCTCCTCAAATATTTGCAAATTTAAGAGACTTGCAGTTTTATAAATTTCATGTTTTGAAAATGTTTCTAGTGTGAAAATTTATAATAAATGTGTTAAACCTTTCCAAGTTATTCATTCAGAGAGACAAGAAAAACGTTTTAAATCTTTGTTCTGAAATTTACATTTTGGGGAAGTTTTGCCACATTTAATATGGTCTGAACGGATGATGTTTTTTATTTCATCATTTGAAAATTTAAAAAAAAGTTTATGATTTAAAAAGTAAATAAATGTGTAGTATTTTCATTCTCATAATTGCTAATATTTTCTGTTTTATCAATTTTAGGTCATAAATAAGGCAGCACTACTCAAGTACGAAGAATTAACAGAAGAGCAAAAAGCTGAAAAGCAAGTATGTGGAACGTTATATAATAGAACTTTCTTTTTTAGGATGTTTGGACTTCCAGTATGGAAGCTAATATTATATAGGTTGCTTGATTACATTTTCAGTACTAAAGACAAGTATAAATTGTACTGTTCCGAATAATAATTTTATTTTCATATACTTCTTTTTTCATGCGTAAAGCCTATAAGAAAAACGTTAGCGGTGGTTTTGATGTCTGGATTTTAGAACATTCCGGATAATGGGCATCTGGATCTCAGACTTTGTACTGTATTTAACATTAAACAGAACTCCTTTATGGTGTACACAAATTTTCATATACAGTACAAAGCTCAAAATCCAGACTGGTCGGGACTTCAGCGATTCCGAATTTGGGATTTTTCCGGATAATAGATCATCAATTTAAATCTCGTTAGAGGGCATGCAGAAATTATACAATTAAAAGTATGAAATTGTAATTTATGAAATAAAGAATTATGATCTAAAGGGTATCAAAATTTACAAGAAAATGCTTAATATTTATTTATTTACTTTATTAAACATTTCTTTCAGTGTAAGTTGTTTAAGATGCTTCCACAAAAAATTCTAAAGTTTCTTTTTTCTTTTTTCTTGTGTCATATACAGTAGACTTTCTAATGCCATACTCCTCGCATAATTTTGAGACGGATATGCCTTTATCCATTTTTTGCAGCAATTCCACTTTTTGTTTAATAGACATCGAAACATGGTTTCGCTTTGTAGATCCTTTGGCAGCTTCAGAATTGAAAACTCTTTTCGACATCATCGAAAGTTCAAGTTTAGTTTTATAAAATTGCCTTAATAATAACAATCTGCAAAAAATAATAAGCTGGATCAAATTAGAAGATCACGGAGCAGCACAGTCTGCTACATTAATTGAAATGACTTAGAATCAGTAAAGATAATTTTAGCCTAGCTTAATAGCTTCCGTTATACATTATTGGCTGTAAATCATAAGATTAGCCGCGAAAGCCAAGTTGGTTCGCGAAATTTTGTCTTGTTCCTATTGCATACTGAATTAAGCCTGAATTGTATTAGTTATTTACTATAACTATGTTTATTTCTTGCACATGCTTCAAACTAATTCTGAGTCTTGAATAAATAAACTCCCACATATACTTAAAGCTTTATCTAGGGCCGGTGCTCGATACCACCTGGTGCAGACTCTACGGGTCCTAAATTCTGCTACAAAGTGCTTTCTTAAGTTTTTAATTTTCACTGTAACTAAACTTTGGATTCCAGTGCTTTCCCTAAATCATAAAAACTTCTCATCCCTTAATTTTGCCACTCAGTGCTTCCCCCAAATTCCAAAAATTTTGTCTTCCATAAATTCTGCCGTCCCGTACCGACATATTCTGCCGCCGCGTCTGGGTTTATGGTGAATTACGTATCAGTTATTCTTAATTAAAATAGCACTAAATGTAATCTTTTGGCCTATGAGTTTCATTAACAAAGTCTATTTTTAGCTTATGAAAAGAAATTTTTTTGAATTTTTCTCAACAACTTTTCTTAGAGCATTTAAAAATCTATAATCATCACCAAGCATAAATGTTAGCATAAAAGGTTGCCATACTCTTGTTATTCAATTACTAATACAAAAAAAGTTTAGACATCACAGCATGAGTTATTACCGAAGCTATCATGTATTGATAAACATGCGGTGATGAAAGCAAAATATAATAAATAATGACACGCCAGGTCGGTGTCGGGGATATAAAATAGGTGAATGTTTTGGTTTGAGATGTATGCCAAGTAGATACTCAACTACGGAGGCAAATTATTAATCTCACAAATTTATGCTTACATGATTATTTTTCCATAACGAAATATTTTTTTAGTGTTAAGTGAAATTAAGAATGAGAATTTTTAAGTGAAAATCTCGACATATTTTATTATGGAAGTAAAAATCAAATGCGCATGCGTAAAGCATTAATATTAATAAAAAAATGTTTGTGGCTTTGAGGTCCGGATTTTAGATCATTCCGGATAATGGACATCCGGATTTCGGACTTTGTATTGTATTCTCTCGTATGGTCTGCAAAGATTTAACTTTAGTAATTAGGATGCAACTTGTAAAATTTTCAGTCCCTGAAGTTTCCTTTTTTTAATCATTGACTTTGATTTGAAAACTTATGGAGAGACTAAGTACATTAAGGTTGGTAATTTTGGGTGTTGATGAAATTAAGGTTGCTAATTTTATCAGATACTGTAATGTGATTTCACTTATGTCACATAACACCACAATGTTAAAATTTGCTTTTACTGATTGGGTGATACAAACGTTTATCAGAAAAACTTAGAAATAATATAAAAGAGCTAACTAATCGTGTTATTTCTGTTTAAGATTTAAACTAATGTAAGTTCCAAGAATTTTACTTTGGAGGCATAAGCATTTTAATATTGTTTAAATTTTTTTCAAAGGAGTGTTTTGTTTCCCTTCTTCACATAAATTCCACGAGATAACTTTCTAGATGATGACATGCATTCCTCTGTGTTTCTTATTTCGCCATTTGGCGTGACCCCGCAATCTTCCTTTTTTTTTTTTTTTTTTTTGTGTGTGTGTGTTCCAGATTCCAGATCAACAAAATTGTATTCATGGTTTACTTTGAAATGTTCGAAACTTTTCTCTTCCAGTTTCTCAGTGCAGTATGATTTCCATGAATTGGAATATATTATAATTCTTTTTCAATATTTTGCTTAATTACTCCTAATATAATGCTCATGGATCAATTTGGCAGTTTCACAAGGAAACATTTGTTTGTTTCATGGCAAACTCCACCAAAAATCCATTGTTGTGATAGAATCCATTCCGCTTTGTTTTTGTGCTTCAAGAACATACTTTCATCCACTTCGGCGATCATACCAGTTCCCCCTATTTTCTGTTGTTGACGCAAAGAATCATGCACAATTTGTGCATGTAATTATTCCAGTCCACAACTGTTCTGTGATTGATTTCCAACTACTTTTCACTCCATTTAACTGAAGTTAGTTCCTCATTCCAGCCATAAACCTCACACACTTCAAGAAACTCAATTGTGATAACTCAATCTATGTGTCTTTGCAGATATTTTATAACAGGGGACCGGAAAGTAATGTCATTTCTGCGCATGTCGACAACAACATGCTAAGGGCAGAAGTGGAAGCAAATCCATGTCAACCACTCTTAACCAACCTTGGTCGACCATCCAAGAACATTTAAAAAATAAGCAAAGCAGGTGTTTGAGTCCCCCATAATCTGTCCGAAAAGAACAAAGCCAACCTATCCATCACATGCAATGTATTGCTTCAACGGCACCATACAGAACCGTTTTTTGATCGTTTGATTAGTGGAGACAAAAGTAAGTAAGTTCCTATATGATAATCCAAAACTCAAAAGGCAGTTTTAATAGGGGTTACAAAGGGTTTACATCCCGAAAAGGCGCTTCTGGGTGTTTGATGGAGTAGTCACGGAATTGTTCATTTTGGATTGCTGAAACCTGGACAAACTGTTAATGCAGACCTTTATTGTGAACCAATCTTTAATCGAAAAATATCAGTTGTCAACAGAAAAGGCGTCATTCTGTAGCACGACAATGCAAGACGAACACTAGAAAAAATTAACGAATTGGAGTGGGAGGTACTGCCATACTCACCCACCCACCATACTCGCTGATATCGCAGCATCGGATTTCCATTTATTCGGATCCCTACAACATTTTCTTAGTGGCAAAAAATTTGAAAATTTGGATGTTGTCCAAAATGTCCTCTTGAGATATTTTACTCAAAAACCAATTGATTTTTATCGGTCCGGGGTAGAAAATCTGCACATTAGATGGCAAAAGGTTGTTGATAACAAGGGTGATTATATTATTGATTAAAAATAAAAACTTGTTAAAATTGTATTTGTTTGAATTTAATGTAAGAAAGTGACATTACTTTCCGGTCCCCTTATTATTTACTGCAATAAGTTAAAAAGTTGTAGCGCCACTGAATTTCATTTCTGAAATGCAATTTAATTTCATGTTTATTATCATAAGTAGCAATTTTCGGGAAAATGCCTTTTGCTTGAAAGAATCTGGCAGGTTCTTCCTCTGTTCTGGGCAAATCCCAAATTTTCATTGTTTTTTCCATCTATTTTTGACATATTAGGAAAAAGACATGACTAATAAGAAATGGTCACGACTTACTTTGAAAATGTGGTGGTAAAAGGTTACCAGTGGAGATAATTTATTTTAGTGTCTATTGTATCATTTTTGGCGGCATTATCGCTTATGCCATGGAAATAGAAAAGTACCCTTTATTGTGGTGAGGTTATATATTGTCATTTAAATAAATACATGTATTAGTTGCTAGATTTTGAGTGTGTGTATGTGTACATGCATATGTGAGAGTTTTATATAAGTAGGTGAAAGAAACAGACTTATACAGCTATCTTAATGAGCATTTTATTTTTGCTTACAATTTTAGGTGATAGTATGACTCTAAGTATTGAGCTTAGGGTCTCAATCTGAAAATACATACTTCATCATGTAACTGTTTAGAAATTCTGGACACAGGAATATTTACATCTCAAAGCACTTTTTAAACATTAATTCTAACATAAAGTGTATCTTGACTGAACGTGCAAAGGTTTATTCTTTTCTTATTTTATAAATTATGTAAAAATATATTTTATTTTTAAACAAAGTGCATTACTTTTCTATAAAATATCACTTTCTAAAACTCTATTATGTTTAAATCATTTTCCTTTTTCTTCTGCAGCGTATTTTTGTTCGAGAAAATGAGGAATTACTGAAAAAGTTTGGTTTGTTTCAAAAGTATGAAGATAGCAAAAACTTCCTTCGGGAGCATCCTCATCTTGCTTGTGAAGAAACTGCAAATTATTTAGTTATTTGGTGCATAAATTTAGAAGTAGAAGAGGTAATTAATATTTTTTATTCATGTCGGTGATTATAGAAAAATGACAGTGACTTTTCATGTAACTGTAAAAACATATTTTTGGTAATTTGTGCGATAAGATTTTCAGATATAAATTTTGTTACTTAAAAATATTTGGACAAAATAAGTTTTTATTGTTATTTATTTATTTTTTCATTATATTAAATGCATTATGTATAAAGATAAAAGATATATAGAGGTAAAACAAAATTCCTTCATGGTGTAAAGCAAATAAAGAAGAGAGAAATACTTTTTAGAGTCCATACTAAAGCAGATAGCCTCACTGATCTGTAGTGACTGAATCAGAAGAAAATTTTAGGATTTCTGTAAACTTTCATAAAAATATAGATTAGGGAGGGAATTTAATTTGTGCTTAAAAATCTTCAAGGAACAGCTATTAGATTTTTAATTCAGTTTAATTTTTTCCTTTAATTAAATTAGGTATCATTAATTCAGAAGTCAAACAACAAAAATCAGCGTTATATTTACAAAATTTTCACAGGACTAGTTTCGATGGTTTTACCGAACCACCATCTTCAGCTGCAAAACCGCAAATGAACAAGATAGGAAATAATGATTAGATAAGATAAGAAAGCCTGGACAAGAATAAGCAGTGGCGCCATCTGTTGGTGAAACCAGAACTAAAACATAATTTCTTTAAAGGCCGAAGGCAAATTTGGATTGGAATTAGGATCGTTAACTAGAACAGAAAGATTTTTATGAATGTGAAATGCCTCTAAAAAATCCAGTTCTCCAATGGAGGATGTTTTTTGAATAATTTTGGTAGCAGAAAGACTGAAAGTGTGGTTTTCGGACCAACAATGTTGAGCAACAGAAGACTTCTGTGTTTCCTTTTTTCTAACATATGCCTCATGTTCCTTGACGCGAAATTTTAAGGTTCTTTTAGTTTGGCCAATGTAAATTAAACCACACTGGCAAGGAATCCTATAAATACCCCAGGAATTCATATCCGGAATGGGGTCCTTGAGTATGGCCAAACTAAGAGACATTGGCCAAACTAAGAGAGCCTTAAAATTTTGCATCAAGGAACATGAGGCATATGTTAGAAAAAAGGAAACACAGAAGTCTTCTGTTGCTCAACATTGTTGGTCCGAAAACCACACTTTCAGTTTTTCTGCTGCCAAAATTATTCAAAAAACATCTTCCATTGGAGAACTGGATTTTCTAGAGGCATTTCACATTCATAAAAATCTTTCTGTTCTAGTTAACGATCCTAATTCCAATCCAAATTTGTCTTCGGCCTTTAAAGAAATTATGTTTTAGTTCTGGTTTCACCAACAGATGGCGCCACTTGCTTATTCTTGTCCGGGCTTTCTTATCTTATCTAATCATTATTTCCTATCTTGTTCATTTGCGGTTTTGCAGCTGAAGATGGTGGTTCGGTAAAACCATCGAAACTAGTCCTGTGAAAATTTTGTAAATATAACGCTGATTTTTGTTGTTTGACTTCTGAATTAGTATTTATTCGGCGTGTTATTGTGTCTTAATTAGGTATCATTAATTATTACTGCTTTGTTTAACCTAAAGTAGATAGATTTTTTTTCTTTAATTACGAATGGGTTAATTGTTTGTGGGATGTAGCAACTTCATATTATTAGTTTCAACATGCATATAATATTTTTTTAATTGTTAAATTAATAATATAAATTCAAAATTTGTTTACTTTCAATTCCCAGCATTTTTCACGGTACTAAATTTTAAAATTTTTTTCTTGTTTCTGATTATTAATTTTGTATTTTTAAAGTAAACTGATTGGTTGTAATTTCTGCATTTTAGAAACATCAGTTAATGGAGCATGTGGCACATCAGTGTATTTGCATGCAGTATATACTTGAATTGTCTAAACATCTGAATGTTGATCCACGCTCTTGCATATCCTCTTTTTTCACTAGGTAATCTAATTTTTAAGTAGCTTTTAATGGATTTTTTTAAGATACTAGTTGAAAACTATCCTGACTGAATTAAACTTACAAATTCCTATTAATGATAAATAAAATACTTGTACCTCTATAATATTTTTATTTGGGGCTAATGAATGTATTGTTATGATAAATAAGTTTTGAATTAAAAACAAGGCAATGAGAAGGTGTTGCCGCTGGAGCCGGCACTAAGGTTTTTTGAACCTGCAAAAAAACAAAAATTTCAAATGCAGAAATGGCACCTTTGAGAAATTTTTTATTTCCATTTTCATTGTGTTGCTGGAGGAAATTTGGTCAAACAATGAAATTATACATGAACAATAATTTGTTGCTTAAGCTTTTGTAAGATCTCTTTTAAACATCTGATTTGACGTACATGTAATTTTCATTTGCTAGCCATGCAAGATTTCACAGCCTCCCTTTTTGTGACATCATGTGTATGATGTAATTTTTAATACTAAATTTAGTTTTGAAAGTGATTATTCTCTAGTTGCATCATCAACAAGTAAAATCAAAAACATTTTAACCTTAAACAGAAGTCAAACAACAAAAATCAGCGTTATATTTACAAAATTTTCACAGGACTAGTTTCGATGGTTTTACCGAACCACCATCTTTAGCTGCAAAACCACAAATGAACAAGAGGAAATAATGATTAGATAAGATAAGAAGCCTGGACAAAATAAGCAAGGGCGCATCTGTTGGTGAAACCAGAACTAAAACATAATTTCTTTAAAGGCCGAAGCAAATTTGGAAATTAGGATCGTTAGAACAGAAAGATTTTTATGAATGTGAAATGCCTCTAAAAAATCCCAGTTCTCCATGGAGGATGTTTTTTTGAATAATTTTTGGCAGCAGAAAGACTGAAAGTGTGGTTTTCGGACCACAATGTTTGAGCAACAGAAGACTTCTGTGTTTCCTTTTTTCTAACATATGCCTCATGTTCCTTGACGCGAAATTTTAAGGTTCTTTTAGTTTGGCCAATGTAAATTAAACCACACTGGCAAGGAATCCTATAAATACCCCAGGAATTCATATCCGGAATGGGGTCCTTGAGTATGGCCAAACTAAGAGACATTTAAACGCTAAGTTAGAAAGTTTTAAATTATTAGTTAAGGACTGTGAATTTGTTAATTTATTTTCCATGTAAATACTTCTTTATTTAAATATATAATGCTAAAATTCATGTATGTATGTGTTTTTTAATATATTTTCATTTTTGTTTCTTAGCAAAATAAAAAACTATATCACTGCCAATTGTTTGTTGTTCAAAGATTTCAATTTAAGTGTAGGCAATATCCAAAAGCATTATTTTTATCTGAATTTATCTGTAAAGTTTTTTGTGATTTGTTATTATATTTTGGAAACTGTCATTCTAATATTTCATGTATTATATTCTTTAGTATTATTTTTCTCCTGAGTGTCAAACACATTCAGTAGTATGGTCTGTTCTATGTTCCGGTTGCTTCCAATAAGTGCATTTACAGTGAATTAAAAAAGAAACATAATATTCAGCTTTCATGTGAGAAATATTTGCTGATGATATTTTAATTGTAAGAATGTCATGTCAGAGTAGCAAATAGAATATACATTTGAAATCATTTGAATGCAAAAATGTTTCATTTTAATTAAAAGTATCATAATTCATAACCTTTTTAAGTAGATTTGTAATTTCACAAGAAATGTGGGAGACAGATTCATCCTGTAAAGTGATTTTCATCAAAATTTGTATTTCAGTGCAATATTATTTAAAGTTAATTTTTTTGCTCCTTTCCTGTTCGATGTATTGTATACTTGACTGCTGATATAATAAGAGAGAGTAATCATTGTTTCCCCAAATATTTAATTATTGCTTCATATCTTGTATTCTCTTATATGTAAGACCTATATTTTTTTCGCAAATGTGCAGATGAAAGTCTTTTTTTCTTTTATATAAGTGAATGATTAGAACGAGGTTGTAGCATCACAGACAGCTACTGAAATCAGAACTGAGAAGGCACAAGACCTTTATTTCTTGCTAAAATACATATGAAAAACTATTTACAACAAGTCATAATGTAAACATTATTACAACACAGTTTGACTCTCGCTTTCACACCCAGGTTCTGGTATGGAACTGGTTTTGATGAGAACAGCTGTCAAAAAGTGAAAAAATTCCAATTTTTCAATCTGCTCACCCTTTTATGTTCTCAACACATTAGATGCCCACATGACATTGGATCTCATGCTGTTGGCTTACCAGCTTGTGACATTTGTCTCTGATCTTCTGGGGAAACTTGTTGCTGGGGAAGGGAACATTTCTGAATGCCCACCACAGAGTTGCCAACTCTCCCGATTTACATGGGAGACTCCCGATTTTCTACAGCTCTCCCACCAACCCGATTTACAATATATTTCTCCCGACTTTTTCTTATTCTTAAAATTTTTATAGACTTTGTTAATATGAACCAAAAAAAAAAAAAAAAGTGATTTTGGATGTCTAAAAGCAATTGAATTTTCATCTAGATTATATCTAAAACAAAATCTATGTGAATTGCAGAATTAGATAATTTTTCTGCTTTGTGAGTGAGAGCATATACGTATCCAGAAACGTCCTTCTCCAGTTTCTCCTAATGGGCATCGTGCTCCACTGCATGTCATCTGGCATATATTAGCCAATGATGACAAAGCAAGCTCAGCTGTTATTTGATGTTCTTTAGTTAATTTCATTCATCTTGTCCTGAGTTGTGTGAGTACGCGTGCCTTCGGAAAATAGTTTTAGAAATCTGCGAGAATCTTTTGTTATGTCTGCGAGAAAGGTGAGATACTCACGTACATTTCAAAAGTTTTACACATTTGACTTTCCTTCCATTACATCCTCAAGGAAATGTAATAAATTTGCGATGTGTACCATCTGTCATTGTGATATTCCGATTTCGCATGGTGGAAGGGCGGATGTTCTCAAATATGTGCGTACACAAAAACACAAGGACAACATAAATTGTTATGAAAAAAAAAACGAAAAATTGGATTTTTCTTCGGAAACAAAGGACCTAAAAGTTATTAATGCAAAATGTCTGTTCTCTGCCTTTTTACTGGAGCACAACCTGCCACTGAATGCATCGGTTCACTCTGCAGCTTTATTTAGAAAAATGTTTCCCGATAGTCAAATCGCTAAGAAATACTCAAGTGCAAGAACCAAAACAGCTGCAATTGTTAAAGAAATGGATTTGAAAAATAATTCTTCAGTTATTGAAGTCTGAATGTATTAAAACAGCTCCGTTCTACCTCTCTACGGATGGAAGCAATAATACCGATTCGAAACTGTATCCAATTGTTGTTTCTTTTTTTAATTCCGAGTCTTCAGAATTGAGTGCAGTTTACTTTCTGTCCCCACTTTAGAAGGACATTTGACAGGCTTAATATAGCACAGCTATTATTAAAACTTTAAAAGAAAATGCAGTCTCTCTGGATAATTGTTTAGCGCTTGGTGCCGATAATGCACCAGTATTGGTAGGCTTGAAGACTGGTGTTGCAGGCATCTTGAAAAGAAAATTCAGATTTGCGATTATGAGGTGCACCTGTCACATCTTAAATTTAGCTGCTGAAAAAGGGGTAGCTTCTTTACCAATAAATGTGGATAAACACATTGTTGATATTTATTATTATCTTGAAAGGAGTTCTAAAAGGAAGGGAAAATTGAAACAGTTTCAACAGCTGCATAATACTGAAATGAGAAAAATTTTGAAATGTGTGTACACGCTGGCTGTCTTTAAAGAAATGCTTATCTAGAATCCTCGATCAATGGAACCTACTTCTTGCATGTTTTAAAGAGAAGTAAATGCTTCGAGATTTAAGATAAAAGGCTCGATTGAAAGTTATAAAATACCTAAAGTAAATGGAGATGTAGTTACTACTTCCATTGTTAAAAATAGTTTTGAGAAAAATAAAGTAATTTCTGCATAATTCACCAATTCAACTGGCAGTTCTCAAAATATAAGCGTAAAGCTGATACAAATTTCTCTCAAAATAAAAAAAAATTTCACAACACACGAAGCATTTTCCGATTACTGTATGTTTATCTTGTGAAGAACGAATATTTATGTTTTTTCCTTCGGACCTTAACAAAGCTTTTTGCTTTTTTTTTTTTTTTTTACGATTCATTTTGCTATCATTCGATGTTCTTAACACAGTTCTGCAAAGCAGAATTCCATTAATTCATGTTTTGCCATTAATGATTTATGATCTGTTTAAAAACATTTTATCAAAGTTTGTAAAACCAGTCTGTGTTTTGTCTTGTAATTCTATATATGATGTGATTTATGGTGAAATAGAAAATCAGAAAAATGATGAAGATTTGGTAATGGGAGCTGCAACTACAAAAGTAGAAGAACTTTCAGAAGAAGACAAAAATAAGTTTTATTTTTATATTAGAAGTTACTTGTGTCGAGTATGTGATTACATACTACATAAATTTCCAGTCAACGATGAAGTGATTTTGCATGCTAAAGTTGCTGATGTTTCTGCTCTAGCAAATGCATCTTTTTCTGATATAAGGCACTTTTTGAACACATTTCCTGTGTTACTCCATTTAGTCATGAAAGATGATGATATTGATGTTGCCACTGAAAATATTGCAGTCGCAATTTTGTAGTTTACTATTAGAAAACTGGATGAAGTTATAAATCAGCTAGGATTGACACCCATTGGAGTTTCAGTTGGAAAACTGAAAGGTGATGATGGAATTTTAAAATATATTAGAACTGTCTAGAATTATGTTGGACATCTTGACAGTTCCTTCATAGTAATGCAGAATGTGAGAGGATTTTCAGTGCTATTGTGAAAATGAAGACTAAATTTAGATCTAATATTAGTGATCACACATCAGAAAAACTTTTATTAGGTAAAGCAGGCCTACGTGGCAATTGCTATGAACAAAATTATGAAGTTTCTTTCTAAACGAAAGCAAAATCTGCCACTGTTCATAACATTTG